CGGGGGAAAAAAAAAAAAAAAAAGGATTTTTAAAATATTCTGAACACCGCCCAACGATATGTCTGACGATCTGGGTTCTGCGCTCGGGAATCTACATTTTCGTTACGAGTTTCGAACGTAAAACTATAAAACGATAACAATTATTAACACAGGTACCGCCACGCCGTCGGTTCGATTAACAATAACATGTTACGCGGACGAACGAATAATAATTAACATGGGCACATGCCATTATCGTTCTAAGTACGTATACTCCATAATATCTGCATTAAATTACACGTATACGGAAAATCACAAAACGCTCTATAAAAACACGGCCGGCCGCCGGCGAGTTGTCCGAGTGCCTCTTATAAATTTCCTTTTTTTTTTTTTTTTTTTTTTTTTTATTGTACAGGTAGACAGGTATATACCAGGACAGGTAGTTAGGTATACGTCACAAATCCCTCTTAAAAATTTGTTGATAATACCTAATGTCATAATAATAATATCACAATACGGATTTTTATTGCTATATTATTATTATACGTCCCCCCACCCCTCGGTCAATTCATTCGCGGGCCGTTCATTCATAATATGATAATACTATATGAATTCATGAATGAACGTTATTCTCATTTTTAATGTGTGCCCACTGGTTTTTTTTTTTTTTTTTTTTACACAGTTATAAATATATTATAATACGCACGCATAAGTGTTGTTGTGTACGTTAGAATATCGATCGGTCGTTGAGCAAGAACGTCGCCGTTTTTACGTCATCCGGTCAAAGCTGCTGCAGTTATAATATTATCGCCGTCGTCGCCTTGTACCATATTATTATTATTATTATTATTATTTTACACACAGTCATTTGAATAGGACACTCCAAGACGACGACGGTATAGTAATAATAATACGCCACCTACTCGTATACGATTATAATATTATTATATCGCCGAACTCAAGGCGACCAGGAATAGACACTTTTTTTTTTTTTTTTTTTTATATTGCATTCTATTACACGTTGAAACCGTTTGCTCGTACCTATATAATATTATACTATAGCCTACGAGTGATGGTTTAACGCGCGCGCGAGCGTTTCGTAATTTATTTCCTCGCCGCGATGCTAAAATATGCGTAAAACCTAACATACATTTGTATGCAATATCCCAACTTCAATGAAATCGTAAATCGATTCATATTAACATGTAATACTATTTGCTCTAAGCTTTTATAACAATAGCAAATTGAAAATCAACGCGGAATTATAATCGAAAAAATGAACGAAAACGACGTGTCGAAATACTCGGAAAACGTGAGCGGTTTTTCTCTTCCTTGGGCCAAAATGAATATACGATTCACGGTGACAAAACAAAAACACCCCGAACTTCTTAATATTAAATATTAACAAATAATACTCGGTATCAATGCGGTGTTGTTGCTTTACTTTTAATAAAAAAAATAATAATAAAAGCGCTAAAATTTAAGTTTATATATACGTTTTCTGTTTTACGCAATCTTCAGATATTCGACCATTAAGATCTTATTAACTAACACATCGCTTTCCACTCTTTTCTAATTATTTGCTAGTTCTTGTCAATCATCGCAAGGTTTACATTTTTCCTCATCACTCTTTATTTGATCTTCTCGCCTTTTTCTTGGAAGCCCCAAGGGTCTCTTTCCCTTTGACCCGCTATTTTAGCCATTATTATACTCACGACGCTCCTTCTTTTTTTCGTGCATGACCGGTCCACTGGAGACGTCTCTTTCTAATTTCCCCAGTTTGTCTGGCATTTGGTATAGCTGTTTATGTCCGTCATTTTTTCGGATTCTCCATTCTCCTGTTCTTTCATCCTGATATGGCCCGAGAATTCTTCATAAAATCTTTCTCTCGAAAATTAGAAATTTACTTTGTTCGGATTTGAACATTGTCCACGTTTCACAACCATACATTATTACTGGACGGATGAGAGTACGATACACCGTAACACTTATTTCCAGCTTGTAGTCTTGTTTTAATTTTAACCGTTCTTCGTTTCTTTGAGTCAATATTGAACATATTTGAACTCTCTCACTCTTTTGAACCTATATGCGCCTACTTCCAAATATGTATGTTCGTAATTCGATAACTACCTTCTCAGCAAAATTATATACTCGGTTGTATATGTTTATATGTTTAAAAATGTTTTTGAAAAAAATTACCCGATTACACAGTACTAGTTGCGATTTTGGTACACTTTTAGATATTTGAAAGCCATTTTCGAATCGATGAACGTGAACGTAAATAACATTAAAATAATTGCCTATACGCAACGCCTTTAATATCGGGCGTGTCGCGCATCCTCTTAGGCAACAAGTATAATGTGCTATAGCAATGGAATAACGAACAGCAAGTATGTCATCGGTATATGCATACGTGGACTACGGACCAAAAACGAAACCTTGGATTTCAATTTAATTGCTTAAAGTAAGCTGCAGCTGCATGTACAGAAAAATCTATCTATTTATCTGTATATATGCGAAATGGTATTAATTTGTAACGGATAATCTCCGAAACTACTGGACCGATTTACGCGTGGTTTTTCGCAAAATGGTCCGAATTGTCCGGAGAAGATTTAAAAGCATTGGAATCTTCGATTTAACCAGTAGAAGTAGTAGACCTAATAACCTAATCCCGTTTGGGATGAATACAAAATAATGATTTTTATTTATTTTACGTTTTCGTCACTATTATAGTATTTGTGCAATAGTGGTTTAATACGAACGTGTTTTTTTCTCGTACCGAAAACCATGAGCAACGGATAAACGTAAAATTTTCTCGTTAAACTAAAAAAAACTCCAACTGAGGGCTATAAGTTGTTAAAAGAAGCCTATAATGAGGATTTCCTATCTCGGACGCGTGTTTTTGAGTGGCATAAATTATTTTCTGAAGGTCGAGAGTGCACCGGAATCCAATTCAGTCGTAATCCAAATTCAAAACCGTTTTCTTCGATATCAACGGCATCGTGATGACTGAATGGGTTCCAGAGGGTCAAACTGTGAACCAACATTACTATTTGACAGTTTTGGCAACATTGCGCGAATGAGTTCGTAAGAAACGGTCGATATTGTGGAAAAACAAGTCGTGGATCTTGCACCAGGATAAAGCGTGAAGCGTTATTTGGCCGCTTAAGGCACTCCAGTACTCGAACACGCGTCTTACTCACCCGACTTGGCACCCTGCGACTTTTACTTGTTTCCGAAGATAAAGTCTGCCTTAAAAGGAATCCGGTTTGAGTCGATGGAAGAGGTGAAACAAAAATCGGCGGAACTCCTGAATGGTCTTACAAAAATAGACTTCCAGCACTGCCTCGAGCAATGGAAGAAACGAATGAAACGGTGTGTGGCGAGGGGAGGGGAGTATATTGAAGGGGAGCATTTGAATGTAGAATAACTTTTATAATAAAAAACTTTTTCGTAACCAGTCTCGTTATTTAATAGCCATACCTCGTATTATAAGAGTTATATAATAAAACACTAGACCATGTTATTTGACTAGCCGAGTTGTACTTACGTGAAATTTTAAAGGAACCGTGCGAATCATAACGAGTGCCAAGTTGTTCAACAATTTCATGGAGCAAAATGTTTCCACCAAAATAAGGCGGGCGAACTGGCCAGGTACACCGTTTAAACGCATACGAACTGTGCACCGACGAAACCGGATATTACAACATAATAATAGAAAAATCGATGTAAAACTTGAGCACCACAACTGCCGATCGATTCGAATACAAATGATCTATTTAATATTTCGTCAAAATATTCTACATTCCTGTGCCTGGTCGTCGCTATAGGAAAAAAAAATTAATAATAATCTTGCGTGGGACCTGCATCGAGGTATATGGTTTAAAGATGGTTACGGTTTTTCACGTACGTCAATTTATCTCGCCGCCGCAACGTCGTATCGATCATCATCTGTACGCAGCAGCGCAGTTCGTCCAGATTTTTTCGATATCTACCCCCCTCCCCTCCCCGATACATTTCGATTTAGTTAAATTATTATAATAATATATAAACGAGCTTACCGATTTATCTTATCGGCAATGTGATGGTATATAGGTACCTATGTCTGTCATCTGCATTTCGTCCGAGTGCTTACGTTAGTTTTCTCGTATTTTTATTGTGATTCAATTCATTCGGCGGTTGCACAATAATATTAATAAACGCGTTGAATAATAATAATATGACGATGACACACGGTTAAAAAAATTTTTTTTTTTTTTATTATAATACCTTTTATTTACCGTGTATTCATTATACTATTATTCGTTATACTATAAACTAAAGTAATTATTAATAATACACCACATAATAATTACGTCTAACAATCATAATTATAATAATAATTACGTATTTGTATCTAAAGCCTTTGCTTGATCACTACAACCGTTTTTCTATTTTTGTTTTTTTTTTTTTTTTTCCGTAAAATATTTCCATTGTTTCATAAGTCAATACAGATATTTTAGGTTTTTTTCATTTCACAGAGTTGTGTCTCTCGGTCGTTCTCTTTCCCTTTTTTCTCTCAATAATATTTATAATACACGTGTTGCATCACATAACGCCTGGCCAATAAACTTGATTTTTCTCGCGTCTATCATTGCGTCTGACAATATTATCATTATTATATTTCAATTAGGTTTAACTATTGCAGCTATTTAGTGAGCTTGAACCTTTATCTCGGTATAAAACGCTAACAATAATAATAACGGACGTCTTACGATACATCTCTACCCACGAAATCACGTGAGTAATCGAATAGTTCATTCGAGATACATATTATATGACTATAATTCTCACTATTACGTATATTTAAAACGCTCAAATTCTAGGTACATAAATATTAATTATCAAACTTTGAAACTAAAATATAAAAAACAGTAAGCAACAAAGCTCTGTCACTAGAGTCAAATTTTCCCTACCTATTATGTATTATACAAATATTGTTGTTTATATGTAAATAATATATATACATACAAAATAACATACCCTTACTGAGCAACTGACTGACTAAATTACTGAATGATTCATCATCGTCTAGCCCAAACCACTGCAGGACGGATCGGGCTGAAATTTGGAATACAGATAGCTATTGCGACGTAAGCATCCGTTAAGAGAGGATTTTTAAAAATTCAATTTTGGAAAATTTTTGGGGTGTACAAAGCAACAAACAAACACCTTCTCTCTTCATGAAATTAAATTACAGTATGTTTTTGAATTATATTGTCTGCCGTTAAATTTAACAAATTCGATGCTGAATAAAATTGTATAGTATTTTTTTATTGGTACGCGTAGGAGAATTCAATAAAAAAATATAAAATTTTCCATGGCGAGGGGGGGGGGGAGTAGGTAGGTAGGTAAGTATAATAATCTAATGTCCGTCATCGATCCTCCATAAACAATATTCGCTCTGCACTATAGTTTCTATACATTAGGTTTTATTTTATTACTTTAAAAGTAAAATTCAAATTTATTTCTTACTAATTTTACTAACAATAAATGTTAAGCGTTTATCAGACTTAAAATTTAAACTAATATGATAAGAATATTACTAAACTGTATAATATTTAAATGAAAAATCAAATAAGTAATTTGGAAATTTGAGCACGGAAAAGAAATGTCATATTTCACAAATTTTAAAAATTATTTTAGAATAATTGACTCAAACATAATAAAAATTAACACCAAAGCATACCTAGCTGATTCAGATATTGTTATTAATTTTTTTTAATTTTTTTAAATATAGGTGTATGCGAATTGTACGGAATTTATTATACAGTTTTCACAATTCATAAACGTCATATCAATCTTTTTGCTAATAATTAAGGAAATGAATCTGTTGCAACTCTCCATATCTCCGGGCAGATATAGCAGATTTCCTTGAATTGTCCCCAATTTGTGTATCTACGACTAGTGCTTTTTGTAAATTTGTATGCCTTATTTGTTTAATATGATGATATTATATCCTATCATATTTTATCTCACCTTCGTAAACGTACAGCTCAAAACAAAATATGCATTCAACAAATACGACAACGATATAAAAATATATTAATATTTGTGTTAGAAAAAAAAAACCATAAACCAATATAATAATAAATTTATAATAAATAATAATAACAAAATTAAAAAATTAAATAAAATGTTTATTAGGTATTGTTTTTTTCAAGAAAAAAAAAATGAACTAAAACAAAAGGAAACACATATTCAGTTTTAAAAATGTTAGAGTAACACCGATTATTAATTAGCGTTATTTGCCACGGATAAAGAATTAAATATTAAATTTATCGTTTCAAACAATTCTCTTAAATAATTTCGAAAATGTTAGTTAACACCTTTATTCATTGGGCCGTTACATTATACTACTTCATGTCCGGCGTCTTCGTCGTGCTCATATTCAAAAACTATAGGCGTCGTTAACTTTGCTGGAGCGTAGCATTTTCTGGTCACCAAGTCGAGAGTTTCTCCGAACGGGCAGATTTTCAACTTATAAGGATTAGCCGTAGTCCAAAAGCTTGTACTATTATTATCGTTTGTAGCATTGTAGTTAAATATCTTGTTCACAATATCTACAAATTCCCCGCCATGCACGCCCGTCTTCGTTGTGATGACGCAAAAAATGACGAAAAACGTTACGAAAGTCAATAATTTCATTATACAATTTTCGAACGTTACAAATCCCTGCAAAAATTGTCTATTACTGTTCTTCATCGGTGGTCGAACTGCACAAGACTGATCAGTAAAATAACGTTTTTATCCGAACCGCATATGAGTCGCGTGTTATAATTACCGATAATTTATTATTCATCGCGCGTAAGTATTTATCCCCACTTTTAATATAATTGATTCAATCGTATCGTAATTTTTTTTTATTATTATTATTTTAGGATTAATTGTAATAATATTTATATTGAGCTATATTAATACTAGCTGTCCGGCCTGAGGTTGCCCATGCTAAAAAAAAAAAAAAATAGGCAGTATTAAATCCAATGTTAATTATTTTGTTTCGATTGTTTTAACTTTTTTATTATTATTTCATCCGTATAACCGAGGTATTCCATAAATCAACAAAACCTAACCTGACCTAACCTAACCCTAGCTCGGGGAGGGAAGAAGTAGCCGATACATTATTCTTGGTGTAGAACAACAACTATGTAAAGTTTCAGTACTCAATCTGTTAAGTAGATTCCGTTTTATTTATTTTTATATATATATTGGTATATATAGGTATATATTGGTATATATAGGTATATACGGTTTTATGTATTATAATGAAAATTACTTAGTGTTTAATTTTAAGTGTTAGACTATTGTATGTAATAATTTAGAACCCTCGGAGAAGGAGCTTTTTAAATCCGTTCAGCCCTCTTGATGCCACATGGCATCATAGTTTTTATCACATTCGATTGTCTCAATAATTATAGTATTTTTATTGTTACTGGCTTTTTGTAAAACATGTATTATTACTAATCAATTATATATATTTGGGCACCGAAACTATTATTTACAATATTATTATCAATAATATTCGTAACTCAATATGAAAGTCATCAACTGTAGAAAGAGTGTACAATTTACGCGTATTCGAATATTTTTTTTCGGAAAACGTATTGAAATACCTACTTACTAATATTAAAAATACACAAGTGGATTTGTTATTATAATTGGGTATCGTGGGTTTTATTTCGACGTGCATTTCGTCGTTATACGCACGACGCGTCGACCGCCGGGGGAGGAAAATAATACGGTATACGTATGTTAGCGAAAAACAATAACTTAAACGGTTGTAAAAAAAATTATCGGACAGTAATTTTATGCAACGCAATACTAATTGACGGTTACTATTTTGTTCACAAATAATATCAGGTAGGTACTAATAACCGCACCTATTTAAGCGCTCGCAGAAAATGGATGCCAATATTTATTATTAATACAATACATTATACATCTATACACGTAAAACAGTGTTTGGCACCGTTATCTATTATCGCCCATTCGCGCTCGCGTTAAATGTATCATCCCGCGTTTAGCTACAACGATGTATATAAATTAACCGGCCCGTATACGAAATTGTCGTATAACGCGACACGTCATACTATTATGATACGAGAACACGAAAAAGTATGCGTAATATAATTATTATTGAAAATTTGAGTATTTGACAATAGTTTATCGCGAAACCGAACAACTAAATGACTAATATTATTATTATTATTATTATTTATTATGATTGATATTATTATGTATTCGTCATAAATATTGCATGCATGAATGTTAAACAAAATAAATTCTCAATTTACAAGACATTTGGATGATGCTGTCTCAAAATTGACCCGGATAAGTTGAGTTATAAGTAGAGTTGACAATTTTACACGAAGAAATAATTGTTCGTTGCAGTTTTTTTTTTTTTAAAAAATTGTTATTGACATATGCCTATGGTGAAAATGATTAAATTTATAGTTTGTGATTTTTTTTAGAAATATAATGATGTTCGACGTTAAAGACAAAGGGTTTATTCGGGCAATATCAGACGACACTTATTTTAAACATGGGATTCCGCACTAATTGTTGAATTAGAAAAATAAAATGCATCTTCAAATAGATGGTACATTCTATTTTTATAAGCTATTAATCGACCGTAATACTATAACCAAGTGTCTCAAATACAAATATTTTCGTTTTATTTGTTTACTTGGTTATCTGTGTTAAGATTGGCTACTGCGTGGACAATGAGTTTGAAACGTGTGCGAAAATTTAATAAAATTATTGATTTTGTTGATTAGCTGTTTCTGAATTTAGGTGAGGTATAAGTTTTTCAGTACCCTAAGTTCTATTCGCTATGTCCCGGAGATGTTCAAAAGGTGAATTTTTGTTTATTATTGCTTAATAGTCGAACTGTGGGCATTTCATTGCTCTGTTTGTTGTTACTGTGCGTCAAGCAGGTGCTTTTGACAGTGATTTGAAAATACCGATGCACGCAAGTTATTTAAGAACGCCACTTTTTGTTATATATGTAACAATGTAGAAAACTCCGTAAAAATCTACTCATTCGATTCCGTGCTAAGTTTATGTGACACATTATTCAAAAAAAAAAAAAAAATCACCGGTGATTAGCTCCGATACTTGAGTCATATTTTACCCAATCTATTTTGTATTATACATACACCTATTTTTTGTGAAACAATAAATAACCTAATACTATACTATAGTAACTAATTTACTAAAAAAAAAAAAAAAAATTGTGACATTTTAGTCAATTTTTATGATTGAAAAATGAAATCCACAAATATTGCATCATTGACACTAATGACATGCATGTATAGCTGAATTTCATCCATTTGCCTATAGAGAGGTCCGTAACGGGAGCTCGCGCTCGAATTTATTACTTTTTTGTTAATTTATGTATTCCCGTTGTAACACGGGGGAGCTTTCTGAATAAGCAACATCGTTATATGTAACCTGTGACCAGTTCTTCAAAATCGTTTTCTGTTTGCGACGGTGACAAAAGTAGCCCATACCTAAGGTGCAGTGGAATAATTTACTCGATATAAAAATATGCTGTGTACGCGGGAATTTTCATTTTTCTCGGATACAATTCGAATTTAAATCCGTTACCGATTCGATTTCAACAATAATTTTTGTAACGAATTTCCGAACGTAAACGACGGTACATCCAACACCGGCCTGGCACCGACTGCAGCGTTCCCTGCCCGTAATTAAAACCGCATTTTTTACCGAATCATCGGTTAGGTACCTTAGTGTTATAAAATAGTATATATATACGGCTATCAAAAGCGTCATTGCGTCGCATTATCATGAACACGCATTTCACAGAGAGTACGCCGTACCTCTGTACACCTATATATTATAATATCACGGTAATAAAAAAAAAAGGTGATCGAAGGCAAGGGGCGAGGGGGGGGGCGGTGGGGGAGGGGTTAAAAAAATACGCGCTCTTGTCACCGTTATAGGAATAGATGACGTGTCAAAAGACGTATACCCGTGCGCTGTTTTACTCTGTACCCCGGGTACTTTGTATTATTATTATTATGTACGCGCGCCGTCACGATGAGTCCTCGGTATTCGTTATAATATTATAATAATATACACATAATAATAATAATACCGTGAATAGAAAATATTTCGACATTTAAATGGGAATGGAAATAAGTAAATGTTATTGTAAAGCTACCTGTGCACCGTACGTACGGCGGGGCTATTGAAAGTGACGGGGTCCGCCGCGCGCGACGATTTGTCGTTTTGGACTCTTTGGCGCGGGGCCGTCCCGCACGCCGCCCGGACTACCCCCCGCCCCCTCTCGCCTCCACCTCCCGGTAACCGCCGGTAACGTATTCAACCGCCGTCTTGTTGTGCCGGAGATCTTTGTGGAAAGAGAGAAAAAAAAAAAAAAACAAACATAATATACCAATACGCGTGCGGCGAACCGAGTACTACGTACGTACCCGCGGAGGAAGAAAAGCGTCGACCGTCGGCGGGCCGCGGCCGCTGACGAATAGGAATGCGTGCCGCCGCCGTCCCGCGCGTGTTTGTTTATCGCGCGCGTGCTCGGCGCGAGCAGCTCTGGGCTTTTTTTTTATTTTTGTTCGTATTCACGTCGGTATAATATTATCATTATAATATTATTCGTCCGGACTCCGTAGCACCGTACAATACGACGACCGCGTATTCATAATACAACGTTATTTACGTACACCAATGCGGAATAGAAAGATGAACGCGTCGTACCGTACACAAAATTAGCCCCGGCAACAAATCGTCCCGTCGTCGTACGTTTCGTATTGCGTTGTTATTATTATTATTATTATCATCATCGTATCTTCGGTACCGGGGCACAAGGACGTGACTCGAGTTTGTACTCGAGTTTTCGATTCGAGCGCAAATTACGCTTTTTAATTCACGTATACATAAACTGCAGTACCTAAAACTATACACGTCCCGTATTATACGGGATCGTCCCGCCGTCCCGACGAAAGTCATGCGGAACGCATTTGGTCATGATTTTTTCGAGTCTATCCCGTATTAATCCCGTTTTTTCCCTTACTGTTAATGCAATGTACAACTTGAAATTTATTTGACGTCTTCATGACATCATTCAATAAAATCTACTTTACAATGGCACTTGTGGGTTATTGTTATGCTTACGACCAATCTAGCGGATATGTTGTACCGCGTCACACGGCATACAACAATAACTAATAAGTAACGACCGCATTTTAAAAACAATTTTTTCAATGAGTTTTACAATATTTTATAAAAATTTAATACGTTATACTCGACACAATTAGTTCAAAAGTACGCAAAACAGCGTACTGAGAAGAAATGAACCGACCGGCATCATGAAAACAAAATCGTCTTCGTGTATATATATTTTATTTGTTGGTATTTAAAAACCTTTATGCAACTCACTGTAGTATTAAGAAATAGGAATAGTTTAGTAAATATTAATAAGTAGCCAGTAGGTCGTTTTAATATATGTTTAAACGAAAGTGATGTCACAATAATCAAACAGTTATTAGAAAATATAAGAACAATATTTTAACTATGCTAGTACATTTAAGTAGAAAGTAAGATGTAAATAAAATTGTATTATAAATAAAGGAAGGGTAAATAAATCGGGGTCTTCTCTAGTGATCGTGTGATACGAACATTAATGGACAATTGTCTTAAAGATCCACTCATTAAATCATTGTATTTTTATTTTGTGTTGTTGACATTTGAACTTATTGGCGTATGATTCC